GTGTTCAAAATGTTCATTCCCAGAAAATAATACAGGGTTTGAAAAACTGTCAGTACAGCAGCAAAAGCACTACTATTTTTGCTTTTGCTCATGATACAAAAAAGAAGGTAGTTTCAATAAACAACTTTTGACGGATAATAAAATTTTTTGAAGTTTCATAAATTGTGAGTATACTCAACGGCCTTGCCACTTTGATAATATTAAAACAATAAATCGGGGTATTTTCATTCCCATATTTATACCAATGTAATAACATTTCAAATCAAAAACAATTATCAGTGCTTGGTACTTTTTTTACTTATGTGGTTGGCACCTTTTTTTATTAAAAATATTTAAAATGTAAACTGTTAAAGGAGACTTCATCGTAATTGTTCTTTTCATTTTGTAATAAAAACCACGCGCGCATTATTCTGTTATTTTTTTGTTTTCTTATTTTGAATGCAATCTTGCGATTTAAAAATCGAATTCTAAAAAATGTTCTTCCTAAATGAAAACTTTTTATGTTTCGGTTCAAATTTACTTTTAAATTTCTCATAAGATTTTGCAAAAAATTAGGCTTTGTGATTAGCGCATCATCATTAAATTTAACAAATTTTTAATTTATGCAAAACACCTGAAGTCGGCTTGAACAGACCGCCTTCCGATAAACAACTAACAGATCGTCGCTTAAAGTACAAAACCGCGTATCAACAAAATGCACAACTGCGTATGTGAGGTTGCATAAATTATTTCGTAGAGAGTAAAAACACTCATATTTCAAAATGGTTCTCTTTTTTTTACAAAGAAATCGCATTTCAGGACAAATGGAGCAGGCTTGAGCCAAGAGCTTGTGTGAGCAAATTCAATTTTTGGCAAAAAAAATGTCAGTTACGCGGTTTTGCAGAACGAGGATACGCGGTTTTGTACTTTAAGCGACGATATGTAAGTATAAACTTTCTTCTACTTTCTGAAACCTAGTCGTCAATCCCATTTTCGAAATCATGTCGCCGGCATAATTTTCAAGTTCATCATATTCCACATCTTTGAATGTACTGATAAAATCTTCTGCTTAAAAAAAAAATATTTCTTCTAGTGATCAGGTAGCATGAATTTGATGAAATGTCATAATTTTATTAAAAGTCAAATGGTTAACAACAGCAACGATTGTCATTAAATGAAACTACCTTCTTTTTGGTATAATGCTTTTGCTTCTCTTTAAAATTTTCGATTTTGATTCGAACTGTTTTGCTTTTGCTGTAACTTTGAAATTTGTATTTTACTTTTTATCGGCAGTTTATTTAAAATTATTTATTGCTTTCGATTTGCTGTGATAGTGCTTTTGCTGTGCTGTGATCTTATTGGCTGTGTAATGGTGTATTATCTAAATATAAGTAAATATATGTATAATGAACATGTATTGACCCTGCCATCAATGCAAAGCATATAAGGGTAAGCGACTGGGGCATTTTCCCATGCATACATATGTATGTACACACATATAAGCTCTGATCCAGTACTCCATGAATTTACAGGATTTTACACGAACTTGCAGGAAGTTACAGGAAAAATGTTCCCGTACTCCAAAATCCTGTAAATGAGAGCGACTTTTGGAGAGTTGTGTAGAGAATGAAGTTGCAAGATTTTACCCGAACTTTTTCTTCTGGTAAAATCATGAAAAGTGTCTAAGCAATCACTGGTTGGCGTTTTTACACGAAAAATGTTTTTTTTTCTGTTCCCGTACTTTTTGTTGTTATTTTTGCTCTCACTTCAGAGAGTAATTTTGCTGTTTGACAGTTTTACAGGATTTTTCACGAAAAGTATTGGATTAGAGCTATAATATCCCCTATTTCTGCCAATTTGATGTTTCATATCAAAGTTACCCAGCAGAAATCTTAAGCATATAGCATCGCTGTTGGTGGCATGAGCTTGCTGCTGTGTATACATGCCAGTATAAATGAACCTTTATTTCCATTTAACACGCGTGGTTTCTCAGAGCGTATGCGTACCTTAATCATACACTTGTACTACTGCTGTATGCATATGGCTGTATTAATGTTTCCAACATACAAAAATGCATTAATGGAACAGTATTAAAGCATTCTTACAAGATCCCCATATGTAAATGATACTTTTCTGATACATTTTAATATACGGGGACATACAAACAAGTAGCATTTAGATATGCAAATGCAAATCTTGTAAAAGCCCGTTTGTGCTGAAAATAGTATCGCACAACACGTCCGTTCACTAAAATTTTTGTACAAGACTGAAAATATTACAAAAATTCCACTTCAAATTTATCAAGAAATGTACTTATAACAACGACAACGTACATTCGCTTGCAATTCGCTAGAATTTAAATTTATGACTACGCATGAATTGTTCACACTAATTCACTTATATAACAAGCATCCTTCAAGAATGCATACAACCGATTTCTACTGGGTATAGTCAAACTGCGATGTATTTGTGCTTTCACAAATTGCTTTCGAAATTTCATAGCAAACATGCCAAAGTCAAAGCACAGCAAAGGCAAATTAAATAAAAAAATTACAGCATTTTCAAACCCAGAAATAATAATTAATTTTCCATATCCACCTACATATTTAGCTCGCTATAAGCACAAATTGTTCAAACCAATCGCAGAAGATGCTTTCCATTTCCAGACAACCGGTCTGGTACGAGCATGATTTTTAATTTCGACCAAACTCAAATACATTGTTTGTTGGTCCAAATAATGAGACACGTATTTTTTCTTTTGGCTCGGAAAAATTTTTCGGCCGAATTAAACGCGATTTTGTTTTTCAGGCAAAAATCGATTATTCGAATTGACAGTGAGAATTTTTTTTTTAAATGCCCATAACTTTGTCAATATTTAATAGATTCCAACAATGTTTTTACTCAAATGTCAGTAATTCTTGTCACTTCAAGATAGAATGGCATAATTATTGATTTTTATTATTTAAATTTTTTTATTTAAGAATAAACAAAAAGTGCAATTTTTTTTTTTAAATTTAATTTCTCAAAAAGTGTATTTTTTTCTCTCTCAAACTTTTTTACCGGGAAAGAGACACTTTGAACTACAATCAACCCAAATCTCTAATAGCGAAGATTTTTTTTCTGAGTTATGATTTTTTATAGAAAATATACGTTTTTGTGGTACATACTACAATATTCTTATATTGTTTAACTAAATGGAACATATGTATGTAATATATCAGCAAAAAGTACAGCCGAGATCATGTTTTGTGTATCAAATAGATATTAGAACACACTTTCCACCATACAGTTTCGATTATAAAAAGCGGGAAAATGTGATTTTGTATTTCGAAACTGTATGGTGGAAAGTGTGTTCTAATATCTATTTGATACACAAAAAATGATCTCGGCTGTACTTTTTGCTGATATATTACATACATATGTTCCATTTAGTTAAACAATATACGAATATTGTAGTATGTACCACAAAAACGTATATTTTCTATAAAAAATGATAACTCAGAAAAAAAAATCTTCGCTATTAGAGATTTGGGTTGATTGTAGTTCAAAGTGTCCCTTTCCCGGTAAAAAAGTTTGAGAGAAAAAAAATACACTTTTTGAGAAATTAAATTAAAAAAAAAATTGCACTTTTTGTTTATTGTTAAATAAAAAATTTTAAATAATGAAAATCAATAATTATGTCATTCTATCTTGAAGTGACAAGAATTACTGACATTTCAGTAAAAACACTGTTGGAATCTATTAAATTTTGAAAAAGTTATGGGCATTTAAAAAAAAATTCTCACTGTCAACTCGAATAATCGATTTTTGCCTGAAAACTAAATCGCGTTTAATTCGGCCGAAAAATTTTTCCGAGCCAAAAGAAAAAATACGCGTCTCATTATTTGGACCAACAAACAATGTACATATTTGAGTTTGGTCGAAATTAAAAATCATGCTCGTACCTGACCGGTTGTCGAAATGGAAAGCATCAGAAGAAAGTATTAAAAATGAATTGTAAAAACTAAAGTCGAAAAACGCTGATTAAATCACAGATTCCCCAAATTCTGAAACAGCCAAAGGAATGAGAATGAAAAATTCTTTTTAAAAAGCTTTAGAAAAACCTGCCACATCTGGTTTGGCTTGTAAGCGCTGTTTAAACAACGATCTCGCCATTATGCTGATTGTTTCTTAAAAATACTTGGCATCCGCATTCGCATCCGCGTCCGCGGATGTTAGCTGTTAGATATTCGCGTCCGCATTCTCATCTGCGGATGTCTAAAGTTCCACATTCGCAACACCCCTAATACATACATACATACATACATAGAGAGCAAGGCAAGGAGTTTTAGTTCGGATTGAAGTTCCACTCTACGGGGGTTAAGCTTTCGATGTCTTCTCCTTGTATATATAAAAAAAAAAATACAGAGCAAGTGAAATAAAAGCTTTTAAAATAGAGGCACTTTTAAACGTTTACAGAAAATGTAACAATTCCCCTCTGCAATGAAAAATTGTTCACGGAGAAAAAGGCTTAACCGACACTGCGGGCACAAAAAAATGTAAAGAGAGTACAATTAAGCACTTAAGCCAAAATTGATTTCGCTATAACTTTGTAATGGTAATTCGTAGGACTTCGAAATTTTGACAGCTGTTGCGTATGGTGGTAGGTAATCGATATCCGTCAAAAACAGAAAATCGAACAGGTTGTCGTTTACGCCCTTTTGGCGGTTAGGGCTCGATGTAATTAACTCACCATAATTTAATCTGACGCGCTCATGTGTTCTGAACATCGATTTTTTTTTACTATTCTAATCGACTACCCTACCCGCGCGGCTTTACAAATAGGCTTAAAGCTTAAACAGACGGCAGCGTTAATCCGGATTAACTCGGACTTGAGCCGGATCAACTGCAGTTAATTCCCGAGTTGATCCGGATCAACGCAGCCGTCTGTTTATGCCTTAACTTAACTTAACGTACTATTAGTATTAAATCATGATTCTTAATATCCTTGATATGTATTCCCTCGCTCTCAACCCTTTAAATTTGTTTTTTTCCACAGATGTCCCGCCTAAAAATGGAATATGAAAAGCAGCTGAATCGCAAGAATAAACGCCATTCAACTTTCGATTCAGCGCGCGATTTCGAACAGATAATTAGCGATCGCGACAATTTACGAGAACTCTGCAGGACCTTCCGGAGCGTCTTGGCAGAACTTGCTAAATGCGTGGTCAATTGTGAGGATGACATAAATAGCACATTAATGCAAGAGGTGCAGCGTCTGGTGGCACACAATCGTACCTTGGATGAGCAAACACCTGAGGTGGATATGAATATTTCCTTCCTGAATGCTTCACTCAGCTCAAACAAGCAGTCATGCTTCATACCAGATGTACACAATTTGTTGGAGGTAGTGGAAGATCCTAGTCTGGTGGATTTCGTTAGCAACAGAAGTGGCGATTTAGTCGAAGAGTTCGATTTGCATGAATGTCTAGAGCGTTTAAATTCCGAGGCATTATGTCTGTTGCATTTATCNTTAGTCGAAGAGTTCGATTTGCATGAATGTCTAGAGCGTTTAAATTCCGAGGCATTATGTCTGTTGCATTTATCGGAAGAGCTGCATAAACGTCAAAGGCGTCGATTATCCAGCTTGTCCAGCGGTCTGGAGAAAATAGATAGCTGCTGTGAGGGAGATAGCGTCGGTGATAAGTCACCAGCAATGGGGGAAAACATACACCGCTTTTTGCGTACTTTCTCGCTGAATGAACAACATTTACCAACATACAGAGAGCATATTAAACATCAGCAGGGTTATCTACTCAACTCATTGCCACCTGATTTGAACCAGTTACGTGCTGAGCGTTCGAATAATAATGATGATCTCTTCTCCACACCTGGCGGTAATGCCTCCGAACTAAATTTTCAGGTGCATGAATTGAAGAATCGTCTAGTAAAATCGGAAAATGATCGCGTCAAGCTGCAGGAAGAGCTGGAACACACAATCAAGAGGAATGCGGAATTAGGACAGGAGCTACAGGCGATGCGTGATCAATTGTCTCAATTCAATTCGCTCAATCACACCGACTATGCGGAGGGCTATGGTCACGGGTCGCTTAGGAGCCCCCAGCGAGTTTCCGGTTCTGATAAATCATCAACAAGCTTCACACAGTTGCAGGAGAAGGCACGCAATATACTGTCTTCGCCGCCGCAACAGCAGCCCAGTAATGATGCTACCGTGGTGCTGCTGCAAATGATTGAGGATTTTTGTCGCGAAGGCGAGAAGGTGGTCGAATGCGGAAAAAAGGATCGTGAGGATCTGCAATCGCAGGTGAGTAGAAGAAGGTTTTGTTGAAATGAAGACTACAATTTCAATCATGCAGTAATTATTATTCCACCGTTTTGTGTGAGTGAATATCAAGTGGTAGCCTTTTTAAAGAAAAGTTATTATGAAATTTTAACGATGTAATAAAACTATGTTTGTGATCGTATGTTTGTGGGCGCATGCTATACTTACATCAACAAGCGAATGCATGTTATGTGAATTTAAGTAAATTGTAAAACTTAAATAAATATGTATGCATTTAATATTATGATTACAAAAATGTGCGCTTGAATAAATATTTATACATTTGATTGCTCCCTAATGCACACTATGCAGATTGACGCGGCGGATAAACAATTAAAAGCCACACGTCACTTCCTCGAAGAGCAAGCTGCCGAACGGGAACAGGAGCGTGATGAGTTTCAGCGTGAGATCGAGTGCCTAAAAGTGCAGCTACGCGATAAAGAGAAGGAGCGCAGTACATTTGAAAATGCCTCCAAGGAGGTGAGTGGAATATGCAAGTATTCTGACGCTATGTTCTTTTGCGTTTGCTGATATGGTGGTTTATGTGCTTCGTTTTCTTTCTGTTTAAAGTTTCTTTCGGTTCCTGCTATTGGATAAAAACTGACTATTACTACATACGTACATATGTGATTTTTCTTCTCAATACTTATGACTAAGTTAAGCTGTTTTACAAAACTCATCAATACAAAGCATCAGTATCCTTTTTTCTAAATCATAAATCACAGTAAATTCTTAATTCCCCAATCATAAAGAAATGCCAATTTGCTGTTAAGTTGCGCAAATTGGATAAGAGCATCTTTTGTCATTTAGAAATAAAAGAGACTGATGCGTTTTTATTGATGCATTTTTGAAAACAGCCTTAATGTTTCTTGTAACTTATTCGAAAATCTGTTTTGAGTTGACCTTTTTTTCGACCGTGTCAAATATACTACATTACTAATATTTCATTTCAATCCTCTATTTTTAGTACTATGAATGGGACTATGAATTTATTTTATAAAAAACATGGGTTTAACACTTGTTTATATATATTGTTTTTAACGAATTTGCTTAATTTGCGTTAACTACTTATTTTAACATTTTCTGTGTACAATTCTGATTGTTGCTTTTACTAATAATGTTTGTTAATAAATTAACTAAATACTATCATTTGCAAGTATTTGTCTAAATAGTAAATGAAGATATGGACTTTACACAATGTAAAGATGAAAATATGTATGCTGCACCTTTATTTTCTGTATTCCACTTAGTTATCTACATTTTTAAATTTTCTGGAACGGTACTTTTGAATTTATTATAGTTAAGAAGCTACGAAATATATTTGATGAAGCTCCATCATTTAGAATCATTTGAATAGAAGTGTATAATGGTTTTAGAAAAAGGACTTATAAAGAATTATGAAGTAATATTTTTTATCGGTCAATCTATATATCGACACTTGAGTGGGAGATCGACCTATCTCGGCAGCCAATCGAAAACGACCTATCTCAGAAAAATTTTCGAGAACACCCTATTTCAGAATTTGGTTGAAGAACGCTCTATCTCAGAATTTGATTAAAAAACGCCGTATCTTAGAATTCAGCTGCCGATTCTAAAACGCTCTATCTTAGCACATGTTCAATATATTTTGTATTATATTTGAGATAGGGCATTTTTGAACCGAATTCTGAGATAAGGCGTTCCTCAACCAAATTCTGAGATAGAGTGTTTTTCAGTAAAGTTTTGAAATAGGGTAAAGCTTTCGGGGATAGGGCGTTTTCGAACTGGTTGCCGAGATAGGTCGATCTTCTACTCAGGTGTCGATATTGTAACCGAGTGTTAAAATAACATTAGATAGGTTAACGAAAAGCGATCAACAACACAAACGAGGTTAAGTCATAAGAGACCGGGTTAACTATTGTGAATGAGCCTGGGAAATTTTTATTTACGGCAAAATCTGTATATTCACGTTCACCATCTTCAAAAGAGGCACATTTCAAAAATGAGATCAGAAAATATTAATCATGAAGAAAAAAAAATTCAATTAATTGGAGGTTAGTTCAATGAATTGATTTATGCAAAACTACCAATTTTTGTTTAGTTATGCCCCTTTTTAAGATGCTGTGTGGTATGTACCAGGGACGTGAACCGGATGAAAAATTTGGTCGGTCCGGTTCAGCGGTTCGAACTGTTTTTGCACTATTGGATCGGTTCGTCAAAGCGG